GGGGGTGGGCCCATGAGCTAGAAAAGCAGGAAAGCATTCGGCCATTGTGTTCAGTGCGTTTTCTCTGCCAGAGGTGGCCTCTGGGGACACGACCTGCCTGAACATTTGCATCGACAGGTGCTGTTGGGTGCATGACCACTGCTACGGACGGCTGGAGGAGACAAGCTGTAACATCCGGACTCAGTCCTACAAGTACAGAGTCACATGGGGCTTGGTCACCTGTGGTAAGACGGGGCTGCCCGTTGAGCTCCTACGGAGAGCCTGATCTCATCTGGTTCTGAGTTCAACTGTCCTTAGAGATCAGCCAGGCTCTATCTTGGGCTGGAAGTTAGGGAGCAGGGTTATCATAGCTGCATCAGACCCCAGGGGTAGGGCTCAGGGACAGCCTTAACCAAACATTGAGCAGGTGCCAGGGACTCTGAATCCTTCTTTCAACATTATCTTCGTGTGGAGAAGGTCTGGCTGCCCTGCTCCACAGAGGAGGAAGCGAAAGCTCAGTGACCTACTGGTGCCCGCAGCTAGAGTTCAAGGCTAAGTCTGGGGGTGGTACCTCCTCTCTGAGAACTGGAGTTCCTCCACAGTAGTTCCTGTCTCCACCCTCAGACGGGGAGCGCCCGACGATGTGAGAACCCCTGAGATGGACAGCCTCACTCTGGGCTATGGTTGTGCCTGCTCCATCAATGGATGCCCTTTCCCCACTCCTCCCCGTCGCACCAAGAGCTTCCTGGGAGCCAGAAGCAGACCTGGGGTCTGCTCAGATGAGCAGCCAGTGTGTAGACTGCAGTCAGTCATCTGCACAGTGCACCCCCCTCCACCCTCCACTCCCCTCTCACTGTCTGTTTGCAGAGACTGGGACCTTCTGCCAGACGCAGCTCTGCACCTGCGACCGGAAGCTCGTCCACTGTCTGTGGAGAAACCTTCGGAGCTACAACCCCATCTACCGATTCCTTCCAAACATCTTCTGCTTCTAGTGACAGATCTGGAGCAGCGCCTTTGCATTCTTCTCCGGAACAGAGCTCCCGGCTCTGCTATTCAGCAGGGAGTCTCCCCGGTCTGGGGCCTCACTCTTTCTCGAGGGTCTCTTGTGCTTGCAGGAGCCCCAGGGGGCACCCCCACCCTCCAGTCCCCCAAGAAGGACTCTGATGAGAGGGCTTGGCAGGGCCAGAACGCTAGAGTCTCCACCTCTCCAGTGCCCCCCTGCCCACGAGGGAGACTCATTTGACTTCTCCGTTTCTGCAACCAGCTTACCACGCCCCTCCTGGGCTCCGGGGATTTTTACTCAAGTAGAAGGGAAATTGACACCCTCAATCTGCATGCAGATGCAGACATTCAATAAAATGCATGCTCATGAAAGCCATCCAGGGGCTTTCTTCTGCTGTGGGCAAGCTGTCTGGTTCTCTCCCTCCCACCACCACCCCCTCACCCCCATCAGTGCACGGAATTGAAAGTGAACCATGTTCCCTGGGAGAGAGAAGGCACAGAGGAGCAAATAGAAGCTTCCCCTTCTCCTGGGTTCATCTCCTTAAGCCTCGGTGGGGTGGGGAGGGGGGCAAGGGGGCAGGGGGCATTCCCAAGCAGGGAACTGGGTTCATTCTCCCTCATGCAGGTGGAGACACGGGGACTGGCAATCAGGTCAGCATAGGCATCCAGGCTCGGAGGACCACCTTCGGAGCCCAGCTTGGCCTTTCTCCAGCTGCGGATGTTAGCCCTCTTACCAGCCGCACCGAGCTTGGGTGTCATGGAAAGTAAAAGGGAACTCCCATAGCACCCCTTGATGCTTCCACCAGGGGAATTTCATCAAGCAGGGATTGTTATTAGTATTTTGTAGTTAGGGTTCAACAGTGGCACTGATTTAACAGAGGAAGGACATTAAAAAAAAAAAAAGCCTTACTCATTCCTCAGCTCATGAAAGAAAGGGGTTTGGAAACAAGGCCTATAGAGGAAAGCTCTTCCCCGAACAAAGAAGGTGCCTTCTAAGAAAGGGCCTTGGCCCCCTCAAGCCCAAGCCCCGGCTCCAGGTCTGAGTCACCACATGATAAATGAGGTCCATTTTTTAAAACCACCTGTGTTGAAATTCCAAAACAAAATTTGATTTTAGGAGATGACTTTAAATGGTG